ACAGTGTAAATTATATAAATTTTTTGTAGCAAAATGAAAATTAAATCAAAGAAATAAATGTATATCTGTACAATAAGAAGAAAAAACCTTTATTTTTGTAATAATAATAGTAATACTGGAAATAGTAGACATCAGAAAATTGAAAGGTTTTAAATAAACAATAAATTATTATTTTACAATGTTGTTCAACATCCCTTAACTCTTAAATGTTGAGCAAGGATTAGATTTCTGCCTTTGATTATTGTATGTGGCTGAAATGCAATCTTGTGACTTATTGATAGGAAACCAACTTTATTCATTAATTTCTATGGGTTCTTTCGAACTAAAAATAAAGAAAATATGAATTACAATCGCAAATGTAGCAATTATTTTTGTTAATACGTTTTGAGACTACGATATTATATAATGGTAATGTTTTTGTTTTCACATTATTTAACCTTTTCTACAATGTTAACTTATTAGGCTTAGGCAACATATACATTTTCTCGTAAATATATAATCTTATAATAATAATTCTCTCCCTAATTCACCCCCTTATGAGTGAATTTTAACTCCAAAAGCTGAGCTTGTGCGGGGAAAGGGACGGCTATTATTATTATTATTATTTGCTGTGGCGCTCCGGGACGACTTAAAGATAATTAATGGTAACATTTGACTTACAGGTGAGGAAAACCCGGAAAACGCCACCTACCGTCATCGAAAACCGTAATGCATGGTGATTTTATTTTAATAATCTGGATGTATGTCATATCAACAGAAATAATATGCCATCCATCAAATCCTATAGAGAACCATGCAAATAAATTCACATGATCTTCCGTATGATCTGAAACCGTGTCTCGTTTTACCAGAAAATTGGTTGACAAATGAATGCTGCGCCGTAGACACCTACACCACCGTAGCCTGCCTATGTTTTATTATTGATTATACTACTTTTATTTTAGCTGAAGTACCTAATAAAAATATATAATAATTAATTTTTTCACTTGTTTTACAAATCTATATACTTTTATTAAAATCAACATATAAATTTTTTAATTCCATTAAAAATTGTATTGTCAGTATACGCAAATATCGTCCGTTAGTTCATAAATTAGTTGGCGCTGATGTCACGCACAGAGCGAATAATGAATGAAAATAGGCTGACTGCGCTTTGCATGATGAACGTACATCCAAAAATAATAGCAAAAAACTAAAAAGAAATCATGTTTTCTGTTATCGATTATTTTAGGTAGAGGAAGAAGAAATTAAAAATTAACGAACACTAGCGTCGACGTGTTTGAGTGAGTTTTTTTTTGTTTTTGTGTTTCTATAAATATTTAATTTTTTTTTTATATATTATGTATGGCTCTGTCTCCTTGTTCATATTTTTCTTTTATCTCACACCTTCTATTTGTTTTTTAGAAATATGTGTTTAGAGTTTCTTGTTTTTTTTTTATTTTAGTTTTTGTCTTTTTTGTTGGGTATTTTATTTATTAAAAACTTTTGTTAATTTGTATTGCTCTTTTAGTTTTCAATTTCTCTGTTTTTCAACTAATAAACATTCTAAATGTTTTCAAAATTTTGCCCCCCCCCCTATAGAATTGTGTAACGACGCCCATGCTCGACACATAATTCGATCGAATTAAAAAAAGCGATTCTATAACTCGATCTGTTTTGACTTCGGAAATTCGACAAAATTCAATTCAAACTATTCTGACTTTTAAACGTCAAACAACAAAACTTAAATTGTATTTCTTTAGTCTTAACGTTAATAATTATTTATTAGGTTTTATTCTTATGGGTGAAGTTCTTCCGTAGTGTTTTCATTTATATTTTAAATGATATCTGTAAGTTGCCGCGGGGCGCCATGAAAAATAATAATAGTCGTCCCTCCCCGACAACAATTAAATTGTATTGTATTTGGTTTAGCCATAAGCTATAAGATTTATAAATTTTATTTTTTTATGATGATGGTTGTGGTTTTTTCTGGGTATCCTCATCTATAAGTTAAATGACACCATCTGTAAGTTCCATTGGAGCGACATGGCAAATAATAATACGGTTGTTCCTCCCCGATACCAGCTATGCTTTCAGAGTTACAGGGATTACTCTTAATGGGGTAAATTGCGAAAAGATTATTATTTAATATTATTGTGCTTTGTGCTAAAGAAAGGGAATGACCTAAGGGAAAAAGCGATCCTTTCGAACTCTCTGAAAATCGCTGTGGATAGCTTTTTCTGCTGAATAAAAATTACCTACCTTTATTAATTTATATTTTAAAGAGTTTTATGTAATTAATAAATCCTTTTATTGATGTTTCAAGTGGTATGCAGAGTCCCTACTATTTCATAGGGACAGTGTTGCTATTTCTTAAACGGTAACAGATAGAAGGTTGGTTAAATAAGAGAAAAGTTACGCAGTTTGTGCTTATTAAAATGGTGCCAAGAAACCTTTGATATCTATAGGGAAATTTCGGAAAAAAAAATAAAAATTGTCATTTCTTAAAATTAATTAATTCGTTATTGAATTTCTTTGTATATATCAAATGTTTTCTGGCACCATTTGAATAAGCACAAAACTGCGCAACTTTTATCAGATTCGACCATTTTTCTATCTGTTACCGTTTAAGAAATAGCAATACTGTCCCTGACTCACGAGCTAGTAGGTACCTATCTAATTGGGAGGATAAACAATGAGCCTAGTGAGGCCTAAATGTCATGAGTTAACCCACCCTCGACAAGTTACAGATACTGTCCCTATAAAATAGTAATGACCCCGTATATACTTAATAGATACCATAAGGCCCTTAATGCAAGAAGAGGTTATTCAGAAAAGGCACATTGCTGCAGGAAAGTTTCATACCTAATGTCAAAAAAATTCAACTTTAATGATTTGATATCGAATCGACTACTCTAGAGCTATCGAGTTATTTGATCGAGTTTATTGTCGAATTTCGTTTAACGGAATTGCAATTATATAAAATCAGAGTCGAAAATTTCCGAAGTCAAAACAGATAGAGACTATAGAATCACTTTTCATAATTCGATCGAATTATGAATCGTATAGAGATCGAGTTACTCGACACAGAACGGAATCCCACCCCAGTACTTTCTCCACGGCTACAGACACAGTAGGAGTTCAATATAGTAAAATTAAACTTTAAACAAAATGAAATACAGGGTGTCCGCCGGGAAGGTATACTACTTTGTTTGTTTATAATTTTTCATTATCTACAACCTTTGTATTGAACACTTTTCGCCAAGAGCTCACGTTTCACCGCAAAATGCAAAAAACTGTTCCCTTCCCAATATCTTTGGTTTAAAAGTTTTTGGATCTTTTAGTTATAACCCTAACTACATGTTCCACCTGGTCCTTACTTGTTATTAATATTTTTTTTAGCATTTAATAGTACATTATATACCTAGGGTGAGAAGTGAGCTATTATTTACCGAGCACTTTTATATCCTGAGGCGCGTAGCGCCGAGGGATATAATGTGCAAGGTAAATAATAGCTTTCTCAGCCGAGGTATATATAGAATTTTTTTTACTACTAACATTAATGTATTAGCAATTTTAATTTTAACATAAGTAATTTCCTAACAATTTGTTAAATATTTCGAAATATCAAGCAGACTGGAGCGTGTTTCTAATCAGACTGGCTTTATTTATGTAAAAATTTGGCATGTGTCAAATTTTGGTATGATTCTAGGAAATATCCCATTGCATTTTTGATATTTTAATGACATGGATTTATTGTTATTAATTAATAATTTTTAAAGCCGGTGTTGAATTTCCTAGTTAATATATATTTTTACTATTAACACTGATATATATTATCATATTTGATTTGATTAGATTTTAATAAACCCAGCTTTAGTTATTTCCTACTTATTTTTCAAATATTTCAAAATATCAAGTAGTCTGGGAGTTTAGTTGTCAAATTAACAAAATGAAACTAATGAAATTTAGTTTCATTATTTACCTAGGTTTTTTTTTATTATCATTATTTACCTAGGGAGAGAAATATTACTTCTCATTAGAGAAATGGAGTAAATAATGGTGATTTCTCATGTTAGTAGTAAAAAAATCCGTTTTGGCACCAGCCTAAATGCTTTGTGTCTACTAGGTCGTTTACGCTTACTTGTGCCTGCAATATTTTCTAATACAATCGCCATTCTTATATAACTGAAAAATTATAATTATACTAATACAAAATTCCGAATCAATTAAAATATATACGATACAGCTATGAATAAAGTCTGACTTATCTGTCAAAAGAAAAGGTTTATTACAATAAAAACCAAGGAAACATTATTCATTCTAAACTAAAACTTTTATTAGGCTGATCAGATGTATTAAAATGTTCATTTTAACTACAAATAAGCATTGAAGGTGAGGTATAAATAAAATGTCTACCCCTTTGACCTGTAATACGTTCTGCAAATTAAATAACTGCACATCTTTCTTCTCTAGACTATAGTATTATACCGCCATGATCCCTAGTTGATACTCATTTTTTTTTCTTTTACAGCTTTTTCAATGTTTCTTCGGTTTGTTTTCCCGTTGGGTATATTGGGAATGTATTTTTCAGAATTTCGTAGAGGGAATTGGGGATTATTGATTTGTATATTTTCAAAAATGCGTAAATATGAATTGCTGCAATTTTACTTGCAGCAAGCAAAACTACAAACTTTTATATGGCTTGTGTCTCTTTTTATAGGCACCGTGATTTTTAAAGTGTAAGGACCTACTACTTGACGTATTTTATCACTTATGAACAGAATAATTGTCACCAGTACATAAAATATTGATTCAGAAATAAAACAAGCATAAAATTCAAAAACATTTTTATTGTCATCGGTTTGTAGTTATCCCAAGATGAATTTATTATGACCATAAAAGTGGATTCTCCATCCTGTGATCTTCTAAACATTCCATCGAACAAAATATGTTTTGCATAATATTATATTCAACTGGTACTTTTCCAACAATTTCATTTTCACACATAAAACATTTACCAGTACTTTTTCCAGATTTACTCATAATTTTTCTTTTAGCAGCTTTTATAATCTAAAAAGTAATTGAAGTGTAAATGTACTAATTTTTTTTATCTTGTTTCTTTATAGATGAAGGTGTTACATGCTTTAAGACACTTCCTTCTTGCAGTTACTTAAGTTTGAAAAAGAGATTAAAGTTTCAAGTAACGCAAATCACTGAGTTGTTTGAAGAAAGAACGATTTGTGTTTCTAGCTAGTATACCGGTACTTACGGCACATTTTTAGAGTGATCAAGTTTCGTTGCCATATATGACACCTTCATCCACAGAGACCATTTATTTAACATACATAAAATGTGACATCTTAACATAATAAGTAGACTGAAGAAACTGTTACAGTTCGCTCTTAGAAGCAATAAAAGAACAAAGTGAAGAGAAATACTGATAAATCTACAGACAATACAACTCCAAAAATATGAGTAGGGGGTCATTTTCCGCGTGGGTTAAGGATTAAACTTGAACTTACACTGTGAGATATATATTTCTCCTTTTGATATTAAAAAAATTCAATTTTTTTAATTTTACCTCCTCAAGTTGTGGTATAAAGTCCAAAGCCCGATACTTTATGAGCCGATTAATTAAATTTAATAATCAAATTTTAACAGATAATTTAGACATTTTATTTTGACAAAAAATATTAACTCTTTACAAACAAATAAACTTTAAAGTATATTAACAGCACCTTTCCAAGCGCTTCTTCAGATATTAAGTAAATCGAAATCAACAAAACTAATTTAACATACCTTTTTTTCCTTCTTTTTATTTTCATTTTCTTTTTCATGTTCTCTTTCTATCTCTTTCATGATTTTCCGCATGGCTTCTTTCACATCGACCATTACTTGATTTGTATCGGAATCGATGGGAATTTTTGCCTAAAATACATTATTACCATTTCATAATTTGTAAATGTATACTTTAAGTAAAATAGGTACTTACATTATTATAATTGAATTTGTATGGGACATCTCTAGCGAATTGTTTTAAAATCTCTCTAACTTTTATACTTTTGGTACACGTATACGCAGTTTTCTGATATTTATTTTTTAAGCAGGGATTAGCGTCATTTCTTAGAAAAAACTCTAACACATCTGTTTGTTCTGTTATTGCTGCTACATGTAGTAATGTATTGGAATGATCATCTACTGTTTCATTAATCACTTCAGAAAATTTTTGATGAATTTCTTCTTGTTTTGTTAAATCTATAAGATCGTATATTAATGATATTAATTTTTCAAGATCACCTTTAGTAATTAGTTTTATTAATTCTTTTTTCTTAACATCGTCCTCTTGTTTCATTATTTTTGTTTTTATTTTTTTCAGTTTTGTCTTTTTTGACATTTTTTTCCTTTGTTTGGGTATTAAACTATCATCTAACTCCCATAAGTCATCAAGTGAATTTTCTGACTCACTTGAAGATAAAATATGTTCATTTAAATCATCGTTATTATTGACTTTTAGTTCTAAATAATTATCATTTTTAAGATGTTCGGTAGAAAGCGACATTTCTACTCTTTCTCTAGATTTTCCTCGATTTATACAGCATAGTTGAACTTTATCTCTTTCAGTTTCTGTTTCAGCGGATAATTGTTTGATAAATGTTGGCATTGCTACTTCCAAGCAATCTGAAATTAAAAGATTTACCTCTGAACATTTTGTGTGGAAAATATTTTTTTTTTTACTAAATAACGATTTATATATTATAAATAATATTCGCTTGATTAGTTAAAGGCTCGGATACGTCAACTTATAAATTTAAGGCTAAAAACAGACCAGGCGTTTTTGGCAAGTCATTTTCCAAAATGTGTAGTAATTCGTAAAATGATGTTTTTCTACACCAACATATATAATATTATCTATTCAACGAACAGACTATAGAATGAAATCTTAAGCCATTACGTTTTACCAAAAAAATATAATTTCATATCCATTCAAGTAAGGATATGAAATCTACCAATCACAGTTTTATATTCGGTGACCGGGCTACTATTTTTTTAAATTGCTATTATGTTTAAGAGGAAACCGGACACACACAAAACTGCGATTACTTCTAGATTTGTTATTTTTTATTCGATATTTATGAAAATTCAGATAGTAATTCGAAAGTAATAATTGTTTCCGTGACAGTCCTTGATTTTTTTGTAAACCTTGGAAACGTATTTTTTTATCTATTTAATCGAATTTTGGGAAAAAAGTTTTCTCCTCAAAATTGTACTAAACCTGCAAGATTTTGCCGATTTTGTTTTTTTTTATATATCAAGTATAATTTAAATGAGAAGTATTCCCACCTTTTTGTGTTAAAACTCCGTAAGGTGCTGCCACCGCTTATTTTAACCTGTTCGCTTATTCTCAGTTGCACATTGTGATCGAAGGGTTGCCAGAGGCGCGCGTCGAATTAGTTATTTGTGTTATATACGAAGAGAACATAACATTTTTATCGATTTAAGTGCTTTCGAGTGAACATGGGTAGAAGAAGTTTTGATAAAGAACATTTAACGTTGTGTGCTAAAAGGAAAAGTCGTCGAAATATAATGAAAGCGTGAGTATTTTATTTATAAAAGCAATATTTAGTTTTAATTTTCTTCTTGAAAAGTAAAATATAATTTATATTCCAGCTATTATGAAAATCGGAGATTGCAGAACACTGTTTAGCCTTTAACTGAATTGCAGAATTTTGAGGAAACCTGTGCTGGGTAAGTCGTAAAATAAAAGTTTATCTAAAAATTTAAGTGCCGTTTGTTAAAAATTAAATTCCTATAGAAGAATCAACTATCGTATAAGTCTCCAAAGAATTTGCGGTCGAATTCTGTACTGCGGGACTGCCAGTAGTGCCTGTAGTAAAATATTTGGTAAAATAATCTACTCATAAAAATGAATTATGGATCCGTTGAATTTGTTATTTGCTACCCACGGAGTTCTTAGCGTAGAATAATTTCTATCGGGATACGGAAACGAGGGAAGATCAATATTTTAGTACCAAAAAGTTTTTTATTTGTATTAATTCTACACTCACCGGCACGAAAAACGGGCACCCCATAATTTTTTATTCAAATGCCTCAATTTTATATTTGTTGTATTGTAACGTTTGTCAACGATAGGCACGGATTGATACATGATTTTAAAATGTGCTTTCTTTAAGAAATATTTTCGTAAAGCTTTTATTTATTTATTTATTTATTTATTTATTTATTTATTTATTTATTTATTTATTTATTTATTTATTTATAGGTGTTTCTATTTTATCTCTATTATAATATCTATATACCACAGTAACGAAAATGGATAGAGCGACTAATGCATTAACTCTCCGTCGATACTGAATCTTAACTACCACAACATAAAAAGACTACTATTGTTACTATCGCTGTTGTATCAGCTCTCCTAGTAACTCTATTAATTTTCGATACTGTAATGTAAACTACTTTAAAGTTAAAATATTTAAAAATTAAAAAAAGAGTACATCGTATTAATTATTAAAATTTAATTTATTTTTAAAACCCTGGTATCTAAACCCAGCTGCTCTGTCCTTAACAATGACATCATCTTGACTACAAACTGCTCCACTCTTCTGTATTCAGACGATTTAAAGTTATTTTGTTCAGTTTCCTGTACAGGCGATTGCTTAGCACTTCAGTCGGACATAAATAAAATTTACAACTGGTGTAGAGATAACTCACTTCCGCTTAACTTTTCTAAGTGTGATTTTTCCGAGTTTCCCGTCGTTCTTATAAAGGTGCAAGTAATGATGCAATTGGAAAATACATTTTCTGGCCCAGAAGGCATTTTTCAAAAAATGGCTAAACCAGACGATAGACTTTTTTCCTGGGACCTTCCTGAACACAATGCAGAAAACCGCATCTCGATATCTGCTGTCCCTAAAAATGTCCGCTATTCCGGTCAATTTTGATCTAAATGCCCTGGACTATACATCTGTTTTTTTTGTATCGTGACATTTATCTACCTCAGGAAATACCCCAAGATATCTTACTTTATCGATTTAAACTTGATGATTTGGCCACTCGTCGGTGTATACATCTTTGATTACGTTACGTAAAATCGTGACTAACAAAATTAATTGCCAGGAGTTACTAAGTCTTCTACATTTTCACATTCCTAATTTTACTATTAGATCTTCCACGCTATTCTATTTTTCAACTCCCAAAACTAATGTATTAAAATATTCACCACTATATAGAATGAATGAAAATTACTCGCAGATGCAGAATTCTCTTTGATAGTCTGACTAGTATCAAATAGAAAATTTTAACGGTTTAAGTATATATCTTTAATTTAATTTTGTGGTTCAATTATGTATGCGTAAAAGAAATTTTTTTCTTTTAAGGAATTTTTTTTGTAATGTACTTTCACGAATAATATGCAATTTAGTACTGCATATTTAAATGTTTTTTTTTTGTTTGTTTTGATATTTTCTTTGTTATTTTTTTTGCTCTTTTGGCATTCTTATTTCATAGTGTTATATTATTGTTTGTCAATCCCCAAACAGTGGATTTAGGGAAACTGTCTATGATTGGTTGTATAATTACTTATTAAATAGATATCAAGTAATTAAAATTAATAATGAGGTATCAAATCCAGAATTAAATACTTTTGGGGTGCCACAGGGAAGCGTGCTTGGACCCTTACTATTCATACTTTATATAAAAGACTTGGGACAGGTTCTCAAAAAATGAAAAATACAACACTTTGCAGATGACACTTTTATCTATTATTATGGGGATGATTTTGCTGAAGTTACTGAGACGGTCAACCATGAATTGGGGTTATTAACAACTAAATTTAAACAAAATAAATTAAAAGTTAATGAGATGAAATCAAAATTTATGTTCATTGGTAACAACTTTCTATATAGATTTTTGAATTTAAATTTAGTCATTAAAATAAATAACGAAACAGTAGAAATGGTCCAAGAAAGTATTTACGAGTTATGTTTGATAGAGAACTAAAATTTAATAAACACATTGAGTGTATCTGTAAAAAAAGTTGGAAAAAATAGGATTTTTACGAAGAGTGTCACCATATTTTTCAATTTCAACTAAATTGACTGTATATAATACACTTATTCTACCCCAGTTTTACTATTGCTGATCTTTAATATATACAGGATGTTCCAATTTTGATAGACTATAGGTTCTACAAAACGAAAGTGATGCGAGTGATACTAGGTTGTAACAAATATTCAGTTTATGTCAGACACCTTAAATTGGCTGTGTTGAAAAACTGCTATATGTACAAACAATGGTTTTTATATTTAAAATAATAAACAATTTGTTGTCTGAATATCTTAACTGCCAACTAAGCCCGGTCACAGAAATACATCAAAAAACACAAGAGCAGCAAACTCTATCAAATTTTATATACAAACAACTAATAAAAGTAGTTCTATGAAAAGCATATTTCATAAAGGGATCGATCAATTCAATCATCTGCCTCAACATTTTAAAAATGTTCAGAATCCTAGTCAATTTAAGAAAGAACTTATTATTTATGTTAAAAAAAATTTATGAATTATATAGTTGAAAATTGTTCTTTTTCTCTTTTCTTTTACTTGTTCTACTTTTAACCAGTCTGTTATGTTAAATACCTACATCACTGGTTCTTTAATTTTTTTTTCTCTTTTTTTATTACATGTATGAGGGACAATTATATTAAAGTTTTAAGTTTATTTTTATTTTGAATTAATTATGAAGTTCATGTTTATATTGAATTGTTGGTTTATTTTGAATTATTGTATTTGATAAATAAAGTTACTTATAATAATTGACTTGCTGTAAGGTAGTGTATACTAAAATAAAATAAATTTTAAATAAGTAACAATTTTATCAAACAAATTGACAGTATATTTTTTAGTTATTGAATTATTATACATATCTATAAAAAAGACTTTATTTCAAATAGATGATGTACATTTCAAATGATATGCGTCTACAGGTAAGAAATCAGGGAACTAGGCTATCCTCTAGTATACTATCGAGTATAATATATATCTAGTCATTTTTAAGACTCTTTCTTAAGCATTTAAAAAGATTGTGTGACCATATTCAATCATTGGGTGGCACATCCAAATTGTGTACATTTTACTAGCTGTACTAGTAGTTATTACTCTTCCTTTGTGACTTAGACCAATAAAATGTGCAGATCTATCTATCATATTATTCTTTTTGTTGGGCAAATGAATATTGAAAGTTTGTTTTTATTAAAGTACTTAATATGTTCAGAACTCCAAGAAATAATATAGGTAACCCAAAAATGTCCCAGAAATTTAAATGTTCAATAAAAAATGGGATTTTCCATTTAAAAATTATAAATACATTACGATTTACTGTTATTTTGGAAAAAAACCAAGGCCATGTCGACACAGAATAATTGAACTAACTAGAAGAAACTAATTATTTCAAGCTATTAAACAAAATAAAAAGATTATTCTGATTTCTCATTGAATAATGAAGATAGGGTGGTGCAATTTAGATAATATATCTAAGTTTATAATACTATAATAAAATTTTTTTTTAAAGTGATAATCTTTATAATTTTGTATTTTAAATTATTCAGTTTTCAAAAACATCATGAACTTACCTACATGATGAAATCACATATTATTACTTTTCTAATTGCTTATAGAAGAAAAATTATAAAGGGTTGTTAAAAATTCCCAAATTTTAGGTAATACCATCGTCAAATATTTAAAAAAAGTTAAAATAGGAACAATTAACTTATCAGATCCTTATAAGATGAGAATATAAAAAAAGATGTCCCATTAAAATTGGTGTTTGTTATAATTGAAAAGTGTTTTGTATGGTGTAAATTATAAATCTTTCTTACCTTCTTCTTTTTCACTGTCGTCCAATTGCACACTTTTGACCTCTTCGCCAATAAGTTCGAATATTTCAGTAAAAATATTAATATTCTCCATTATTTAATATTAGTCTTACAATAAGATCCTTAAACTTTCAAACTATAAAAAAATCTACAACTGTCACTCTTCTATCAATAATGAATCACAGACTATACCTTTATATCTATTTCTATTATAACTATAATTCCTTAATTCTTGGATTCAAGTATATATTTATTGGGGGCCAAGCGATATTATTAATCCTCCCTCCACGAGATGCGCGGTATCAAAAAAAAATAAATATAATATTGCACAACAAACTGAAATGCTACATTCTACATTTTGAGTACCTACCTAATTATTCTTACTGATAGTGATTAATAAAAGAATTCTGGGAATCCTTATATCCCTTCTTTCATTTTAATAGCAATCTTTATTTTTTCTATGGACAGCAAATAGCAACAGTGAAAATTAATTTGTTATAGGTACTTCTTTTAAAATTATTTTCCTATTTCCTATATTATAAAATCATAATCAAAACAAATAACAAGTATATCAAAATCAAAATATTGGAAAATTTAAGTATATCTTTCTTCTTCTTTTTTTGTTTCGTTTCATTGGTCTCTTTGTCTTCGAGCATACAGCCACTACTTGTTTAGTATTCAGATCTGTTCTGGTTTTGAGAAATAACGATCCACAAATGTCGGGCTCATGCGCAGTAGATAAAAAGTGTTCTGGTTTTTCTGGGACTACTTCGGATCTCTCAGTCCAGTGTTCTGGTTTCGTATCCGAAATAATCCGTGATTGTTGTAAACAGTCAAAAAGTGTTCATGCTTGGGAGTGTGGATCGACTCGGACTGTTTTGACCGCGCATGCGTTTTTGAAGTGTTATGAATATTGTATTGGCCATAGAAAAACTAAAAAGAGAAGGTTTGAATAATAGGCGGGAATTGTTTCCTTGTTTGTAGTTTATCATATCGCGCTTCACGCGCTGCGAGCACTAAATAAAAGCCGTTTTTACACCCATATGATAATTAAAAAATGAATAAATTTTAAAGAAATCAATAATTTTACTAATGCAATCTTTTAAATATCACTTTAATACAATATAATGATCAAATACAGGGATAATTGTTATAAATTTATAAAGTTAAAGCTACATTTGAATATTATGAGGTGGTGTAAATCTGGCTTTGCTAATAAATTAGGTTATGTTACACTAAAACATGACAGTCGTGTAAAATGTAGGTGAGTAAAATTTATTTAATCTTATTTTTAATTTAGTTTTAGTTAAATTTAAGTAATTTATAGGTGTAAAAATATACTGAGGTCCTTAACGATGTCATTAACTTATAATAAATTCACATTAGCATGTGCTGCTCCAAATTGCAGAAGCAAATATTATTTACATTCACTTAATAAGAAATTTTTTTACTTTTCCGTCCATTATTACCCTTAGAGAGAAATGGTTTGATATTTTAAATATTCCCTACACATCTAAAAAAAACTATAGTGCTAGGATCATTTTGACGAGAATGCCTTCACCAGCACTTTGCCTACTAAGCTCATTAAATTTGCCTTGCCTTTAGCGCCTTTAGAAGAGAATATTACTACTAATAATAATATTACATTAGATGAAAATTTTTCAAAGCTACCTTCATCAAATTCTCTTGCAAAAATAAATGTAATTAGTAATGTTTTGATTAAACCTTCTGTTTCGAATATAACTTCAGCTAAAAGAAAGCTAGATTTTTTTAATGATAGAATTGAATGTGTTGAGGAACCATTAATAAAGAAACCACGTGTAAGAACTGGTATTTTAAATCAAATTAATGCAACTACAATTGGTAATTTAACTCCTAGAAAGAGAAAATTTTATTATATTAATCGAGAGCAGCAAAACAAAATTTCAAGATTAAAAAATAGTTTATTAAAATCTAAAAATACAATTAAGACTGCTTTAAAATTATCAGAAACAAATTTATTTAAAAATTTTAGTTTAATTTTAAGATACACACTGCGCCTTTATTTTTTTTTGTTTTAGTTATTCCTGAGTATGGAGATTTTTGGAATGGATATTGCAACTACAATGAACCGAAATAGATGGGTGAAGGGATAGTAAAGTGGTTTAGTGCCAGAGTTACCTAACCAACAAAATTTCAAAACAACTGGTCTTTGTTATTGTTTTAAAATCATTTCTATACATGCCAAAGTTACCTATTCCTTAAAATTATGTAGTTCATGACAAAATTAAATACTTATTTGACAAGTGACTATTTTTAAATTTTTCTTAAACTTTGATCTCAACTTAATTAATTATTTTTTAGCAACTCTGGCACTGGAACACCCAATAGAGCTTAAGAATAATAAAAAAAATTTCAGGTAGTAAACTCAATTTATTTTTAATGTGTACTTTTTGTGATAATGTGTAATTTTGAAATATTAGGTAATTTTATAGATATAAAATAATAATATTAATAACAATAATAATCGTGATTAGTGTAAACGTATATTTTTAACTTCAACCCTTGAACATTTTTCAACATATTGTGAATATGATGTTTAATATAATGTAATGATATAGTTACCTATTCTAAATAAAATAAACTTATTACAAATGTTTTTATTTTTCATTTAAAACAAGTGACATTTTCCGTTTTTCAGCATTTACTTACAATAAAAATTCATTTTACTTATTGATTGTTTCAATTATTGTAAGTAAAAGCTGTAAAACAGGAAAATGTTACTTGAAATTACTTCAAATTTCATAAATTTTAAAGCCCGCCATTTTTTAAATCGCTTTACCTATTAGTTTTCTACTTTACCGACTGTACCGAATTATAGTTCATCATAACGCGCTCAGCGCGCCACTGTCGAGGTCAAACAAACTTGTTACCAACTATTTACAGGGGAACTGGCTACCCTGGTATTGGCTTTTTAGACCATACGAAACGTATACAATCCCAAATTGTTTATTTATATGTGGACGAATGTCTCTTGTTCTTGTTTTATTTGTAAATTAAAGCAATTTTAGAATTATTAATTTTTTAATATTCTGTTTTTATTTATTCCATTGAAATGTGATGATAATGATAAACATATACATGCAAATGTTATTTGAAGCTGAGCTTTCAAAAGGAACTTCATTATTATAATAAACAATAAACAAAACACCTTTATGACGTGTTCTGGTTTTCCAAGAATTTCAAACAGTCGGGGATTTTTTGCCTTTACGCATACGGTCCGGCGCAGTTTCAAAACAGTTTTCATTTTGAGAACCAGAACAAACCTTTTCATCAAAGATGCATGGTTATTATTGGCCGCATTCAGCAGAAGCAATCGATTTATGATTTTCTGCTGAATGATATATAAAAGAGCGATTAGTAATCAAATGATGAGTTATCGGCCGCCATTTAAAACATCGAATTTGAAATACGATTAGTTATCACATCGTGATTAGATTTAGAACTCATACCAACTGAAGTGAATGTTTTGTGGTGGTGCTCATAACGCATCTTATTTTATATTTATTTTGAATTCATTTTTACACTGGATTTGTCATTTTTCACTGAAATGGAGGACTTTGAAGTGATATATGTTTATAACAATATGAAATATATTGTAGTTGGTAATGAAGTGTTGCACAACGCATTAAAATCAGGCAAATACATTAATTTATAATTATGTAGTTCAGTAATTTATTTGGTGTTTTATTCTAAATTTTGTACCTATGTTTTAGATGATGACTTTTTGCTGAAGTACATGTCACTTTTATGTCGCCTGTCGAAGTGCCTAAAAAGTTCATTCAGGAGATTCACTAATCGATAAGTCATCGCTAAGTTATCGTTTGATAATCAGTTGCTTCTGCTGAATGCGGCCATTTGACTCTGGAGGAATAACTATATGCAAGTCCTATGCACATTGATATACGTCTGGAGAGGTCTATGATGTTCATTGTAGAAACATTTCATGTGTAGTATATCATAATGTGTAGGAATCATGATAAAACAAGGGATAAAGGTTTAGCAGTCTATCACTTCTCTCTGGTCTATCACATGGAGAAAGGATTATCACTTCTTACTTCTCTGACTGCTCTATCACAGAGTGACCCTCACTAAACTATATCAGTTATAGTTCAGTGGTTACCATATGTACAGCATTTCACTGTATTGTACAGCATTTTCAAAGTCTGCCTAGCATTTGATATTGTACAGCAAACGTACAGCAAAACGCCGTTATTTTCCAGCAAGACGCCGTTATTTTCCAGCAAGACGCTGTATTTGTCCATCGAAACGCCAATAATACATATTATATTGTAGGGTAGGGTGACCTATATTTCTTTTGACCCAATGCTGGAGACGAGAGCTGAGGATCTTTTTTATCCCCCTCAACTCAAAGATAAACACAAAAATAGAGTAGTCATGCAGATACCACATATGACCCTTTTTTAATTCCCCAAGTCTTATTTGTTACGTTTCAGAAAATATGTATTGAATTGCTGGACAATAATGGCGTTTTGCTAAACAAATACAACGTTTTGCTGGGCAAATACGGCGTTTTGCTGTACGCGGTCTGCTGGACATACTTTTTAAAATGTTATACAATACGCAGAGAAATGCTGTGTACGTATGGTCACCCGCCTCTCCTTTATGTATATACTTTCCATGCGTACGATTAATGTTGTTGCAAAATACTGTCTGTATTATGGGTAGTTTAGCTTATGATGATGCAGAATTTGCAAACAAGGTATATACAAAATAATTGGTGTTTAAAATATTTTTGAAAGGTTATGTGGAGTTAGGATCGTTGTTGATCCTTATTTCATAAAATTAGAAGTGTTCTCATTTTTCTTACTATTTTAGTCAATGTCCCTTGGATGTTTTAACGTTTTCAAACCATGGTTTCGTGCATGGTATTTGCATGATTTATACTGACATAGTTCTAATCTTTGTATTTGTCTTTTGAGTATGTTTGGCACCAATTGTTCCAGATGCTTGCTTTCATCATATGTATCAGGTATTTCGAGACTACTCGTATTTCCTCGATGCATTAGCGACAGAAGGGAACACAATAGAACCTTTAGTTCGCATACCCAACATAACGTCAGGTCGTTGTGGTGCAGCTTGTATTGCTGTATTCTGTTGCTTGATATACTTGTTGGCTAGTTCGTCTGCGTCTTCGATAATACTAGAGCACAGGGATTCTTATGTGCAAGCTCGACACGATACGTTTTGAATAGAGAGAGAAATTGCAGTATGTCGAATGAAGATACCCAGTAAACCACAAATAGTCGGCTTGACACCAACATGTACGGGAAGCCGAGTACTCGGATTGCCGTTGTCGGCGTTTCTTCTGAGCCGGGAGGACCGTACTATTTGACGTAATTTAAAAGTAGAAACCGCATACCTATGGTCCATATTTGGCATTCCAGACATGAGAAGCATCCTTACGGGCTGAACGCGGCTAATATTTGGTTAGCCGAGCATGGGAGGCATCCTTATGGGTCGAATTTTATATAGATATATAAACACGACTACAATTTAGTGGGCTGCCGACATTCGGCTGGGCGACATGCCCTACCTATATGCTGAAGTCCGACATCCGGCAAGCCTCCTTCGGCCCAGTTAAGGTTGATTCTCACTATAAGCTCCATTTTCCGTTCCGTAACCATTACATCGACGTTCCAGTAAATTCGGTCGTTTGCACACTTTTCTGTCCGTAGTAGTCAGTTACTGATGTAAATTAATAGTGTGTGATTATGTTGATATAGAAATGAGCTTAAAATGTGGTCTGAAGAAAACTTAATTATAGCGGCTATTATATTGGATGAAGAAGCTCACTTGAAAAAAACAAAACCACGATTTTGGGTACATGACATGTTAAAAAAAAGAAATATTGAAGGAGAATATATTACGTTATATAAAGAACTCCTATGATGACACCAAGCTTTTCCAATATTTGCGCATGTCAAAATACAAGTTTTACGAATTACTGTCCAACATCAAACCTGTAATAAAGAAAAAAATACCAAATTTAGGGAATCGATATCGGCGAAACATAAACTGTGCGTCTGTTTAAGGTAAGTAGTTTATTTTTATGAAATATACGAACAAACAACAGTAGTCTTAAACATGAGAACTTAATTGTTGTCACAATGTCCATCATTATAGGAAAATGTTGCTAGGTATGATGCAGCTGTGGAAACTGAAGAAGCAGGAGAAGGCGAAGGCGAACTCACATGTCTAAGCTGATTAGAAGGAACGTCATTTGGGAAACCATAATTGCTGTTATTAGGATATTGCTGTTTGGAATGTTCTTGTGGCCGGCCCTGCGTTTGTAAAAGCTGTTCTAATTCCAGTTCTTGCACTAAAGTAAAGATTCTACTTTCAGCGATATTTCGTTAATATGGCGTGAATAGCTTAATTTTTTCAGTAATATTTTCACAAAAAAAATCTGTTGGATCTTTTGCTGCAGAGCGACTAGCTTCTTCGCTTTGTTGCTTCTCAATAAGGTAATTTATTAATTGTGAAGAAGCAGGTTCATCTTTTTTTAGTTTCGATAATTGTTTTATATTTGAAGAAAATTGCTGCTTTTTTAGAGTAGGGGTAAATTCGGTTGCAGTAGCAGGTATCCTTGTAGCTTCTGATGTGTTTCCATCACTTTCAGTAACAGTGGTATTTTCTTGAGTCTCAGTAACAGCGGTATTCTCCTGTGTATCAGGTTCATTTTCCTCTATATCATTAGTGTTGTTAAGATTGCCAATTGTTTCCCTTTGGCGCACAAATGGTTCCAAAAAAGACATTTGTTCTTCATATCGCCACTTCCTTACTGGCTTATTGGCTTGTCCCGATTTCGTTACATGATTTTTTTTATTTTTCGCCACTGGTCTCTTAGCTGATTCCATCTACTTTTGCATGTAAACATATGTAATGAAAAAAATATGAAATAGGTATAGGAATAATTGCAAATTCGATATATATGTAAAAAGCGCCTGAAATTTAAAATTGAATTTTCAAAATGTAAAAGGGATTCTTGGGCTTATTTTACTTTGGATAAACGTGCTCGTTAGTTAATACAGTTAATGATCCGAATAGTTAGGTGCCCAATTGCGCGTATATGTAATTTACTAAATAAAGTAACAGTTCTAAATTAATTTTTACGTTTTGAGGTCCCCTGAATCCGTTTTGACTATTTTCGCGATGATGTGTGTGTGTGTGTGTGTGTGTGTGGGTGCGTGCGTGCGTGCGTGCGTGCGTGTGTGTGTGGTGTGTGTGGTGTGTGTGTGTGTGTGTAACGCATAACTCATGAACCTATACACAGAAAAACACCAAATTTTAAACTTAAGCTTTGTTTCAGCGTCCAATAAGCTGATTAGATTTTGGACAGAGTCGGAACATCTGGGGGGGTACTTTATAGGTGGTCATTTTTATATTTTATGGAATATATCTGTTATTTACGTTTGGAGAAGAAAATTCTTCAAATAAAAGTTACTTCTAATATAATTACCTATAATTTTTGTTTTTTGCAAAATTTTCCTAAAATGGTCCGTATTCGAGAAATTTGACAAAATGTAAAAAAAATTATTTTTTATAAAAATTGTTTAAATAAAATTTGTTTGTAATATAATTCTCTATAATTTTTATTCTATACATAATTTTTCTAAAATGGACCGTATTCGATATATTTAAGAAAATGTGTAAATTTCGAATTTTGAAGAAAACTCAAAAATGGATATAGAAAAAAACATTAAATTTTAAACTTAAGGTTTATTTCGGCCTGACGTGAAATGATTAGATTTTGGACAAAGTCGGAACATCTGGGGGGGTACTTTATGGGAGGCCGTTTTTATATTTTATGGAATATATGTTATTTATGTTTGGAGAAAAAAATTGCTCAAATAAAAGTTACTTCTAATATTATTATCTATAATTTTTGCTTTATGTCAAAATTTCCTGAATTGTCCGTATTCGAGAAATTTGACAAAGTGTGCAAAACTAAAAGTTGTTTGCGATATCGATCTCTATAATTTTTGTTTATACATGATTTTTCTAAAATGGACCGTAATGGAAAAATTGTAGGAAAAGTGCTAAATTTAAATTTTTCAGTATTTTCGTTTTCAATGAATATCTATAGAAAAATGTTTCGAGGTAGATGTATGTGGAAAATGTATATATTTAGTTTATCCTCTAAACATTTATAGGGGTGCTGCAATAGGTTGTACAAAATAACCGGAAAAAGCTTATAATAACTAGATAGTAAAGTCATGTATTGGACACATCAGATTTTTCTTTTCAGGTTTTTGGCAACAGGTGATTCTTTCCGCACAATAGCCTTTAGCTACAGACTGGTTCATTCAACAGTATGTGCTTTTGTCAAAGAAGTTTGTGATGCAATTATTGACAAAATGTTAGGAAAGACAATGCCCACCCACAGAGGAAGACTGGAGAAGAATTGCCAAAGATTTTGAAAACATTTGGAATTTTCCTAATTGCTTGGGAGCTCTATATAGACGGAAAACATGTGGTGATAACAGCTTCAGCTAATTCTGGCTCTCAATTTTTTAATTACAAAAAGACTTTCTCGATCGTACTCCTAGCACTTGTAGTTGTAGATGCGCAATATAATTTCATTACTGTTGACGTAGAATCATATGGAAAAAATAGCGATGGCGGCATTTTTGCGCATTCAAATTTAGGAAAAGCTTTAGAAAGAAGTTCCTTAAATATTCCTAATCCAACAGTACTTCCGGGTACCAACCAGGAGGTGCCTTTTGTTATAGTGGGTGATGAGGCTTTTCCCCTAAAGACAAATTTATTAAGACCCTACTCTTCAAATCAACAACAAGACGACAACAAAAAAAAATTTAATTATAGACTATTACGTGCTCGAAGATGTTCCGAAAATTCTTTCGGTATTCTGAGTCAAAAGTTTCAATTTTATAATCGGAGCTTAAAATCCTCACCAGAATATGCAGATAAGATTGTCCTAATAACTTGTATATATTGCATAATTTTATCAAAGATTTTACCATTCGTTCGGAATATTTTATCACAGATATTTACTATTTTCAAAATCATAATGGGCCGTATTTTGCCTAACAAGTTCAATCAGCTTCTCGTCATTCATATTTAAATCACTCCTTTATAATAAATTGTATAGAACTGGTACGCATTTATGTTCACACTACCGATACCGTTTCCTGCACGAATTAACTCCTACTAACTCAAAGTTCGTTTTTTAAAAAAATACTTTTATTACTTAATACAACAATTATACTTTTAATTACAACTTAACAATATGGAATCTAGCAACTGACTGACTACTCTAAAAGAAAATAAAAACGTCTAACAATAAAAAATGCAAAATAAGATAAAAATGAATATATCAGAACAAAGAGTTTTACAATGTCAGCATTCTTCCATAAGGGCCATGTATAGGAGTCGACATAATTCCTCCCCCCTGAGTTTCAACTTCTGAAGTTAGGATGAAGGAAGTTGAACAGCTGTCGGATCTATTGGAGACTGGGTCAATTTCTTATGTCTGCATATTTTGGGCATCAGTTTCTTGTATACGAAGAACATCACCAGGAATACAAGAGTCCCGTAAATTATTAAGGTCCAAAGACTGGGAACCATCAATACCTTCTCAAATGATAACTTGGGTTGGTTATGAGTAATTTGTGACTTTATGGCTTGTAGATCATCTAGTTCAATATTTTCTAAGTGAAAATTAAAATTGCTTGAAGTGGATTGGATTGTGCTATTATCCAAATCTAGGATTAACACTGGTTGGCCAAAAGTTGTTGATGATTTCTGGTTACTTATAGTCCCCATATGTGTGGTTAATTGACATCCCTTTGGAATTTCTACTAAATAAGTCCCAGTGGTGAAATATTTCGTTTCTTCGTTTGATGGACATTTAAGATATGCTGTGTCTTGATAAGGCACAGTGTATATCCAATGATTAGAGTTGGCTAATTGCTTTAATAGTGGCTTTGATAGGCGAATTGACGTTTTTTCACAGGTGGAAGTAATTTTCATTTCCAACAATTGTATTTCACAGGGGCCGTCTTCTTCAATTTCAAGCAGATCAATTCTCGGGCAGACAAATTGCCGAGGGATTATTTCTGTACATGGATTGCTCGTGAAAGCGAATTTGGATTTGTTTTTAACCAAAAATTTCTTTCTAGGTATTATGACCTTAAACTGACTCTTTTCCCAAATAGGTACCGCGAATAAATGATATAAATTAAAATTTTCAGATTGAACGACAGGGATTTCTAAAATAAATGTTATTTTATTATTAAAAATAAAACAGTCAATTTTTATTAATTTTTCGAATAACAACACATTATTTAAATTAATTTCCAGAGGAAGTTCATTTTTGTTTAAGTATTTTTCTAATAATTTTAATTGATTATATAAATCGATTGTTTTGATTATACTATGGTGCATAACTTGAATTTTAGCAAAGGAAATTGAATTTTCTATATCCTGTAGAATAGAATTAGTGATTTCAAAAATATTTATTATTTGTACAATACTGTCTTTAATGTAATTAAAACGAGAAAGGGTGATTTCTTCATTCATTAAGGATTCTATTATTTTAATTCGAGAAGTTAATATATGCTCATTATTTGTTATCTGTTGAATCGTTTTATTAAATTTTTCAATTAATGCAAATGACACCGAATTTTGTTCCTTAATATTTGTAGCTAAATTAATTTGATTATTTTGCAGTTCTTTGATAAGAGTTTCAGCAAATCTGAAAAATATAAATTATTTTTTAAATTTATACGGTTTTTTCCGTGGGCGTTTTAAGTTATCCATGCTAACTTTCTCGCGTTGTTCTGTAGATACTGTTTTATGTGTTAAATTTACAGTTTTTAATTTTACTGGTTTGGTGAATTTGTTTGCATGTTTTTGTCGAATGTGTTTCTTTATAAAAACGTGTTGTTTTGGTTTAAAGATTTCGGGGTGATTCGGAGAAGTAAAATGTACTTTAATTTTATGCAAGTTTAATAGTTCTGTCAATAAAAAGTTTTTGAATTCGGTACCATTGTCTATTATTATTTGTGTTGGTACACCGTGGTGAGAAAAGAATTGAATAAGGTTATCTGCGACTTCTGTACCGGAAGCAGAGTTTATATGATATGCCTGAGCATATTTTGAAAAGCTATCTATAATAGTTAAAAATTTTGTTTGTTCCACAGTAAATGAATCAATATGAATTATTTCAAACGGCCTCGTAGCCGTGGGTGTAATATTTAATTTTGTTTTAATTGGATTGCGTTCATATTTACTTTGATGGCAAATAAGGCATTCATTAATAAAAGTTTGTACTGATTCTTTAATATGTGGCCAATAATATTTTTCTTTTATTCTTAAAAACGTTTCGTCTATTCCTCGATGGTTTGACTTCCCCTCGTGATAATTTCGAATTATTGTTTTAATTTCATCTTTATCGGTTACATCTAATAATTTTTTATTACATTTCTTTAGTTTGATTGAAGGCCATTTAAAATATTTTTGGAGAGTTACTGAGAATGGTTCATAAATTTCTGGGTTTTCGAAGTAAATATGATATGGAATGCCAGGAGCTATATAATTTTTTACAAGATTTATCACGTCCTGTTCAAAATTATTTTTTGACAGTTGTGCCATTAATCGTTTTTTGGTTTCGAATAAAATAGTTAATTTTGGTTTTGCCGGTGAATGCAACACGGAACTTACTATAATTTGATTTTGACCTAAATTTAATGCACAATTTGAAATTGGAATTCCTACTACGGGATTTTGTTCAGCATTTGAGTGAATAGTATGGGAGTCATCGTCCTCAATGTCTAACCAGTCATCACTATTGTTAAGGTCAGGGTGTGCAATCATTGACATTTTATCTAACTCA